GACTGACTGTGAATACGCAAAGCACCCATCCAGAGCCTGGCGGCCACAGGGCCAGTGCTAACAGGGAACTTACGGTCAGGGGCGAGGCGGGTGTGGCTGGTGTTGCCATGAGAGCCGCTGTAGGAGTGAGCCTGGTGCACAGACTCGTCCACGACGGCTGCCATCCAGATGGCCAGGTTGGTGGTGAGGGTGAACATGAGCCCACACCTGTTTCAGAGTGATGGATGAGGCGAATAAAAGGCTCGTGAGTCTTGGACTCACTATGGGTCCCTGGCAGAGCAAGGCAGGGGCGGGAGCCCTCCTGAGAAATGGGGTTATGAAATGAGGATGTAGAAGGGCCCCTGTGAACAGGGCACTTGAATTTGGAAGCAAGACTCAGAGTGGTGGGATGCCAGACGAGAGAGGGCCGGTGGGTGTCCTGAGGCTCAGGCCCCACTAGGGGACAGGGCACAGTCCAGGCAGTGGAGAGTAAGGACAAAGAGGAAGAGGTGGCTGAAACCCCACCCAGGACTTAAAAGAAGCCACACCCAGGATGAGAAGCTTCCTCTCTCACGCCAGGTGAGCCCTTGGCCCACAGACGCCGAGCTGTGGTTCTTACCGGGTCAGGTCCAGGTGGGTGTGGATGCAGTCTTTAGCAGAGACCCAGAGAAAGTAAGTCTACACAGAGAGAGGGACAGGCTCAGCCCCATGTATGTGGGCTAATCTCCAGAGCCCAGTGGCCACCCACACCCAATATGACCCAAGAATCCTTAGACTAATCAGGTTTATTTTGGAGTTACAAGAGAGAAGGAATAACTTCTCTTTCTACTCTATACTTCAGCTTGCTAAAAAGAAAATAGTGCCAGGCCATGGTGGCACACACCTTTAATCCCAGCACTTGGGAGGCAGAGGCAGGAGGATCTCTGTGAGTTCAAGGCCAGCCTGGTCTACAAGAGCTAGTTCCAGGACAGCCTCCAATGGTTTCAAGAAACCCTGTCTTGAGACCCTCCCCCCAAAAAACAGTGGTTCTGTTCCTTAAAGATTAGGGAAATGTCAACTGTAAGACATTTTAATTCGATAAGATTTGTGGGGGGGCAGGATTGATAAAGGGGCGAGTGAAGTCTTGGCTACCAAGTGATGTATTTCTGGGAGAAGGTCAGGCTTAGACTAGATCTTGCTCAGGATCTCAAGGTTTAAAAAGGTCTTTGGGGTTTACTGTTGTTGAGACATGGTCTCTCTATGCAGCTCTGGTTGACCTGGAACTCTATGTGTAGACTAGGCTGACCTCAAACTCACAAGTATCTGTCTGCCTCTGCTTCCTGAGGGCTAGCATTGGACTCATTATGTAGCAGAGAGTGACCTTGAACTCCTGGCTGTCCTGTAGGCACTTCTGGCTCTTTGTGCACATCCCCTGCTACCTTTTTCCTTTGTGGATCTGAGCGGCGGTGCCCTTGCCTGAATCCCTGCCACTGAATCCCTGCCACGGGACCTAGTGATGTGGGGGCATTTCTGTTTCCATTTTTCCTGAGCCTTCTTCAAACTTATGAAATGTAAAAGGCTAAAGCTACATTAAGTGTCACAGCCACATGCGTGTGGCACCGTGGACATCTCTGTGGCAGGGGATGCTTCAAAGCATGGCACCATCCACTGGTCATCTTGCTTGTACTGCAAAGTGAGCAGTCACTCCTCAACTTGCTCAGCTCTTTCAAAATGGCCTTTATGCAACACATTAAAATGAAAAACTTGCGAGCCAGGTGTGACACACTGCTGAAATTCCTGAACTTGGGAGGTGAGAAGAGGAGTTCAAGGCCAGTCTGGGCTGCATGAAGTGAGTCACAAGAGGAAAAAGACAAGAAATTAATTTGAACTTGTCTGGAAAAAAAATCAGAGTTACGGGATGCCCTGCCTCCTAAACAAATATCAAACATGCAGCTATGGCTGAGATCAAACAAGCCATAGCCATGGTCATGGCCACAGCACAACCCTAGGCAGAGACGGTTGCCCGCCATGGCCACCCAAGGTTCTATCAGACAAGGCCAGCTGTCACAACTTGCACCTCCTAGGTGTTGATTACTGGCACCACTGAGGTCAAAATAAAATTGCAGCTCCCCTAAGTAGGAACTCGCATTTAGACACCACTCCATGAGTCAGTGTTTCCTTGTTTATGGGCTCATGTGATCCCTACCTACCACAGTCCGAATCCATTTACTGAATTGCTCAGAGTGGGAGGGGGCAGTATGTGTGGAGTTCAGATCTCCTGAGCTTTTGCCAAGCATCAGGCTCTTCCCTATATGGGGACTTCCTTCTACCCACCTGGACAATGACAAACACAGCTTGGATGATGGGGTGTAGGATCTTGATGGCCGACTGGCACTCAAAGAAACTGGAGTAGTAACCGGTTTTGAAGACATCCATGACAAGGGTGCAGATCCCAAACAGTACCAGCCCACCTGAGAATCAGCCAGTGGAGAAGCAGAGCCTCAGAGAGGCAGGAGAGAGGGCTGGTAGGGTGGAGGATAGGTGAGTGGCGAGTTGGGGAGCGTGTGCAGGGAAAGGGCGGACAGTTGGATGGAAGAATGGATGAGCGGAGAGGTTGGGAGGATGAGCGAATGGGCGGATGGATACATGAATCGCCAACTGTGTGACTGATCAATGAATGAACGGGGGAATGGAAGGCCGAGCGTGTAAGTGAACAGGTGGACGGATGGGTGAGTGGAGAGCTCAGGAGGATGGATGGATGGATGGATGGATGGATGGATGAGTGAGGAGGTGGGGATAGATACGTAGATGACGGGTAGGTGTGTGGATAAACTAGAAGATGAACAGGTGGGTGGAGACGAGGGCATGGTGAGTGGGAAGAGGGTGGGTGTCCCTCATCCCCTCCACGGCACAGACGAGGGGAAAGCCTGGGACAGACCTTGTCATCTGCTATTGTCTTTTACTTTTTTTTGCTCACAGTCAAAGGCTCTGCATGGCCCTCTCTGTCCATTCTTTAGACAAGGCAAAGAAGCTTCCTCCGCCTCTCTCTGTCCTCTAGAGTTTCTCCCCTCCACCCCCCTCACAGCATCCCTCACAGTGAGCTCCCAGCCACATCCCTCTTCCCAGGGAACTGTACACCTGTCTACCCAAAGGTCCTCCAGGAGCCCCGGACTGCAGTTCCCCACTGTGACCGCCCCACTCTTTTCCGTCTCCCAGGGCACCTCGGAGCCAGATGGGGCCAGCATGAGCATCCCGGTAGGGCACAGCATCCCGACAGCGCGCCGTGCGGAGGAGGTAGAAGACAATCCACAGCGTTGCCAGCAGCGTCATGGTCGTGAGCAGTGCGAACACGTCGGTGTCATACACAGCCACCTTGTTGAAGGCACCACCGCTGATGAGCGTGCAGGCGAGCAGCAGCACGTTGACAGCCAACAGCACCGACAGCAGGCGGCCACCCTTTTTCCACACCTCGCGGGGGCTGGCTCGTGGCCCCGGCAGGCTCTCCTTGGGGTGCTGGACCAGTTCCTCCGACATGGTGGGGGCGACTGGAGGAGGTTGAAGGGATCACTGTGGGGTTGGGGTGGGGGGGGACAGGATTCCAAGTCAACCCGGCGGGCTCTCCTTTCCTCCTAAGTGATCCCTGGATTTGGGGACCCTGGAATGTGGGGACTATGGATGCTAGACCAAGCCCTGGGGAAAAAGAAGAGAAAAACTGAACTCTCCCACCTGGACCGGGGATATTGAACAGAAAGGAATGGCACTAGGCCGGATCCCACACAAAGTCCCACTCCCCAAATCTGACAGTACCCTGGACAGGGGCACGCACCTGGCTGCACCGGGAGCCGACACCAAGTTGGGGGTTAAGGGGCAGCGGGCGTCTCCTCTCTCCCACGCCGGGCTGGACCAGTGCTTTATACCGGAGAGGGCAGAGTGATTTACAGCCACAAGAGCTCGGCTCCATAAACCTCTCAGTACCACTCACATGATCCATCTTTTCTCCGAGCTGAATTTAGGGAAGCCAGATAAGGTGAGATTTATATTTACCTGTTAAGATCCCCTCACCCTGTCGCGTTGGTGCGCCCAGGGTTCAGGCGCGGCCCCATACTGCGGTACCTTAGAGGGTCCTCCTCTCCGAATGCTCACCGCAGCCTGGTACTAAGAGATAGCACCCGCCCAAAGCCTGCAGAGCTGACCCCCACCCCAGTGACCGTCTGCACCTAGAGGCCGTAGCAGCTCAGGATTCAGCTGTATCTTGGCTCTTGCTTGCTGCCCTGAGATCGGGACAACAGTTCTCCCTTTCCCCACCTGCCCTCAGAGTGATCCAAGTTCGGTCTTCTGTATCCCTTACTACAATGCCGGGAGGGAGATGCTTGTTGGATGCTGCAAAGTCTGGTTCCCACGAGGTGTCCGCAGCCGGCTCGCGATCGTTTGGCGCCCCCTGCTGGAGAGTTGTTGTCCGACTCCACGCGAGTAGGCGATCTCTACAGGGGCTGCTGCGCTCTGCTTACGGACTGTCTTGCAGTGGGTCCTCCTGTTCTTCTAGTCCCACTGTCCTTCGGATCAGAACTACATCTCCAACACCATTTTCCAACCCTTGACCGGTTCCTTTTGACGGGTGAGGAAATCAGGGAATCCAGCGCTCGGAGCTCTGCCGAAGACATACTAACTGTCCCTATACTGGGCCTCAAGGGGCCAGAGTAGCCGCTTTTGGCGCGAGAGAGCTGGACTTCTCTTGAGTCGCCCCTGTGTGCTGAAAAGCAGGGCGTTTAGGACCCAGGGGAAGCTCCTGGGCGGCTCCGGGGCAGTGAGAGATTTCCCCCCTCCCTCCGCTGCTGCGCGGCTCAGATGTCCCGGTAGTCTGTAGTCGTCTGTAGTCGTGGCTCTGGCGCTCCGCATCTTCCATCTGTGGCCGCAGGGGCTGGCAGCACAGGCCCCTGCCCAGCCCCTTCCCTCAAGCCCATGTTTCAGTCCTAAGCCGGCTGCCCTCCCCGTCGGGGACATTTCTCGGGGCCCCTTGCCCGACCCCTCCAACTCGGGGCGCCATGAATGACCAGTATCACCGGGCCGCCAGGGATGGCTACCTGGAGCTCCTCAAGGAGGCCACCCGGAAGGAGCTGAATGCCCCCGACGAGGATGGCATGACCCCCACCCTCTGGGCTGCCTATCATGGCAACCTGGAGTCGCTGCGCCTCATTGTGAGCCGAGGGTGAGTATACTCTCTGCCCAGCCGGCAGGGAACCATAAGAATCCCCGTGTCCCAAGCCTCATGGCATCGCTGGTCCTCCCCCCTGAGATGCCCTCTTCCCATATGGATAGTCCCTAAGGGGAGACACATGTGGAGGGGACATGGGCTGAAGCTTGTGGCACTTGTGAAAACATGTAGGGCTTAGAGGGGGAACTGTGATGGGGGGGCGGTGTCCATGGTTATGGGATGGGGCTGCCGAGAGATTCAAAGGTCAAAGACATTTCTGGGTTGGGGGTACCTGCAAACAAGAATGGAGGGAAGGTGGGCACCAGAGAGAAGGCTGAGAAGTCTCCAAGGGCCTAGAAGAGGGGGCCAGAAAGGAGACTTTCGCTGCCTACTCCCCAACCTAGGAGTCCAAAGGCTGTGACTCCCGTAGGACCTGTCTAACACTGACCTGTGCCTTCTCCCCACTCCACTCCTGAGATTTATAGGCGCTGTCCACACTACCAAATGTCACTTAACACTTAACTCCAGTGATTAACTCTCTGGACCCCTCCCCCACTGCAGGACCCAGTAGTGGGAAGCCATGGTGTGCAGAGAGGGCATCTTCTTGCGTCCTCCCTCTGGAGTTGTCCTGGGAGGGAGGGTGGGCACAGAGTCCACCTGGAGGGGTCACTGAAATGGGCTGGGGGAAGAGGATGAAACCACCTTACTGGAAATAGCCTAACATCAACAGTTTGGTAAGGCTGGCCTTGGTACTGGTGTGCCTGGACAGGAAAAAGGGTGCCCCAAGAGGGTTCATGTCAATGTCTCAGGTTCTAGGGGTCAAGGGCAGTGGCTGTGGCAGAGATTACATTGACCCTGGTATTTGGAGTGCCTGAATATGTGGGGGAAAGGTTTCACTCTCCCCACCACAGCCCCTTGGGTCTAGCAGTAGGTGGGAACAGTCTGGGATCAGACAGCTGAGGCAGTTACAGGCCAAGACTCTCCAGGAGGGCACACAGTGGTACTATTTCCCCCCCTCCCCCCGCAGCATCCATCAGAGAGACTCATGGGAGTCTCGTACAGGGGGTCTGAAGGGAAAGAGGGCTTGTCTTTGGCCCTCCAAAGCCCTCAAGTCCTACAGAAGCAAGGACTTGTGCTTGATGAGGGAGGGCCTGTTGCTGAGCAACACTTCCCCACAGTACCCTTCAGGACAATCAGAGGGGAAGCTGAAGTCGGGTGGGAGTGGGGGGTGTGCTGGGAAGTGCTGAGATAAGGGAGTGATTCGTTCCACAGCTCTGGGCTGGCCTTGTGGCCTCATTAGTGCGGGGCAGGGCCCTGTGCTAAGGCCAGACACACACACACACACACACACACACACACACACACACACACACAGAAAGAGAGAGAGAGAGGCAAGATCGTTAGAGAAGTCAGCAGGAGCTGGGCTATGGGCCCGAGCCCGACCAGGAGGGCATTAGAGAGGGCTGCTGGAGGGGGGCAGGCCACCGGCTTCAAAAGGCGACCTGAACTAGGGAGAGCAGCACAGCCAGGTCGCCAACCCTCTTCCTCTCCAGTTCTGGCTGTCCCCACAGTCCCCTTCTGGCTCAGGCCAAGACCCGACACCTGCTCTAATACTGGCGTTGCCAGGCCTGGCCCCGCTCCCTGCAGACATAGCGGTGCCCACTGCATGCCAGCACGCACCGTCTCACGCTCTTCCAGGCTTCAGCCCAGCACTCACTACCCTCTAGTCCTCCTGCACAGTGACCCTGTAACATGTGGCTTCACAATCCACCTCACTCGCCTAGAGACCCAGACTCAGCCCTGGCCCACCGCCTCTCTGGGCCAGCTCCCCACAGGGCCCATGAATAATTCACACCTTTCTTTCAGCGCATCAAATATTTATCCCCTGAGATTCCCAGCCTTCAGTTCTCTAGGGGAAGGCCCGCCCCATCCCGCCTCCTGGGTGGCCCCGCCCCCTTGTGGGTTGGACCATCCCCCACACCCCTGCGCAGTGCTCTCAATCCTGACGCATCTGTCGGCTCATCTCCTGGGAGTCGAGGTCTCAGCCCCATGGGTTTCTTTAGGACAGTGGTCCTCAACCTTCCTAATGCTGCGACCCTTTCATACAGTTCCTTGTGTTGTGGTGACCCCCAACCATAAACTTACTTCGTTGCTACTTCATAACTGTTATTTTGCTGCTGTTAAGAATTGCAAGGGCAATATCTGATATTCAGGGCATCTGATATGTGACCCTGCTGGGATCGCCGCCCACATTTTGGGAACTATTGCTTTAGGGGATGCGCTGTTGCAGGTCCAGGGAACTCACAATGTCTCTGGACTTCCTTTTTTTCTTTCTTTTTTTTTTTTTTCTGGTGTTTCCCCAACCCAGATTCCTTGTACCTCCACAGTCTGGTTTGTTAAAAGGACTCATCCTTCCTCTCCACGTATTGTCCCTACAGGGGTGACCCGGATAAGTGTGACATCTGGGGAAACACACCCTTGCATCTGGCAGCTTCCAACGGCCACCTGCACTGTCTGTCCTTCCTTGTGTCCTTCGGGGCCAACATCTGGTGCCTGGACAATGACTACCACACGCCACTGGACATGGCCGCTATGAAGGGCCACATGGAGTGCGTACGCTATCTGGACTCCATCGCAGCCAAGCAAAGCAGCCTCAACCCCAAGCTGGTGGGCAAACTGAAGGACAAGGCCTTCCGCGAGGCGGAGCGGCGCATCCGCGAGTGCGCCAAGATGCAGCGCAAGCACCACGAGCGCATGGAGCGGCGCTACCGGCGAGAGCTGGCCGAGCGCTCCGACACGCTCAGTTTCTCCAGCCTCACGTCCAGCACCCTGAGCCGCCGGCTGCAGCACCTGACGCTGGGCAGCCAGCTGCCCTACTCGCAGGCCACGCTGCACGGCACGGCCAAGGGCAAGGCCAAGATCCAGAAGAAGCTGGAGAGGCGCAAGCAGGGGGGCGAGGGCACCTTCAAGGTCTCTGAGGACGGACGCAAAAGCGTCCGATCGCTCTCGGGCCTGCAGCTAGGCAGCGATGTGATGTTTGTGCGCCAGGGCACCTACGCCAACCCCAAAGAGTGGGGCCGTGCCCCACTCAGGGACATGTTCCTCTCGGATGAGGACAGCGTCTCCCGTGCCACGCTGGCTGCCGAGCCTGCCCACTCGGAGGTCAGCACAGACTCAGGTCACGACTCCTTGTTTACTCGCCCCGGCCTGGGAACCATGGTGTTTCGAAGGAACTATTTGAGCAGCGGGCTGCACGGGCTGGGCCGCGAGGACGGGGGCTTGGATGGGGCAGGGTCGCCGCGGGGTCGGCTGCAGAGTTCCCCAAGCTTGGACGATGACAGCCTGGGCAGTGCCAACAGTTTGCAGGACCGCAGTTGCGGAGAGGAGTTGCCTTGGGATGAGCTAGACTTGGGCTTGGATGAGGACCTGGAGCCCGAGACCAGTCCCTTGGAGACCTTCCTGGCCTCACTGTACTTGGAGGACTTTGCCTCCCTCCTGCGGCAGGAGAAAATTGACCTGGAGGCCCTGATGCTGTGCTCTGACCTCGACCTCCGCAGCATCAGCGTGCCTCTGGGGCCTCGGAAGAAGATTCTGGGGGCCGTAAGGAGGCGCAGGCAGGCGCTGGAGCGCCCGCCGGCCCTGGAGGACACAGAGCTGTGAGTGTCAATATGGGGGAGGGGTTCTCCCTTTTCAGTAACGGAGCGGACTAAGCACCTTACTCCATAAAAATCAAAGCAGTAATCAACTACAAGATGTCCATTACCACCAGCTCAGAAAAAACAAACAAACAACCCGCCAGATTAGTAATTGGAGGTTTTCGTATCATAGTCGATACTCAGTTCTGGGGTAATCTAAATGGAGGAAGCTGAGCCTTTTAGTAAGGGTAGGATTCTTTTAGAGTAACCGTGGCTTGAACTTGTGTAGCTGAGAAGGACCTTGAATTTCTGATTCCCCTTTCCAAGTGTTGGTGTCTGAACCCAGGGCTTTGCCCATGCTAGGCAACCACTCTTTACCGGCTGAGCTATATGCCCAGCCCCAAAGCTGGCATGGTTTTGAGCCCTGACACATTCCAGGTGCTTGAGCAAATGCTTTTGTTGAATCCGGAGTTCCATTCTCGGAGCCACAGTGAGCCAGTGGAGGATCAAAGATTAGACTGTAGCTCCCCCATGCCTCACCGTGGCTCCCTGCAGAGATGACCCGATCTTGGGTTGGGTCATCTCTAGAGCCTGGGGAGCAGCCAACTGCTCTGGGATGGAGGGCGTGGCTGATACACTTCACCTCAGCTGCCCACACCCTCAAGGCAGATGTGTTTTGCCTACTTTCCCCCAAGCCCTGCTCCCAGTGGGTCCAATAGCAGCCTTGTCGGCACAATTGTGTTTTTAGGAAAGCAGCCCAAACCTTTGCCTGCCCCTCCTGTCCACGGTAGCATCCCACAAGCTCGCTGCCCTTCCCTTTGGTATCTAAGGCCTTCTACCCCAAGTGCCCGGGGGCAAGGCTGGCTTTGGGAAGGCAATCTGGCTCACAAGTCAGGCAATGGGGGTGTCAGTGTCCCCATTACTGACCACCAGTCTGCGGAGGGAGGGGATGGCTCAGTCATCAGAGTGGTTGGTCTTGGAAGAAAATGAGATCTTTGAAGGCTGTCATCTAAACCCGGGTTCTGTCTGTCTGTCTCTCCACAGATGAAAGGTGCTCCTCTCCTCAGACCAAAATGAATTGCAAGTTGCCACAACTCATAGTGGGGCCCAGAGGTCCTCACAATTGCCATCCCTGCAGCCCCTTTTCCAGGAGCAAGGGTCACACGGGTCATCTCCCTGGAAACCCTGTCCACACTCTGAAGCAGAGGTGTAGTCTGGAGGCACCTAGAGGGACCACAGCCTGACAGATCACCACTTTTAAGAGCCCCTGAGCCACGCTCATTGAAAAGCCCTGAACTACAAGATAACATCATAGCTGAATTAGAAATAGGGCGGGGGGGGCAGCTTTACCTGTCACAGGTACATCACCTCCCCTACCCATCATCTCCAGCCCTTCTTGGGGGTGGGGGTGGGGTCCTGTCTTTTTTTTTTTTTTAATAGGCTGGAAACTTGTTGCTTCTATTTACTGTAACGGAAGAGTTTGGGTACCCTCTCCTCATACATCCCAGAAGAGAGGTTCCCCAGCCAGACTCTTCAGCCAAATGCCTGGTCTTTCACTACCCAGCACACTCCCTCTCATAAAAGGCCAGTCCCTCTCTTTCACTCACAGGCCATGGCCACAGCTGGAGAGCTAGCTGGGGTAGGCTGGTGTAACTGGTCCTTTCCCAGCTCATTCTGGGAGCCCAGACAGTCTCCTTTTGCTTCACCCCACTCCACTGTGCAGCCTGGTCTCCTCAGGGTTTCCAGAGGACCAACGGGCCTAGAAGGATCAGTATTGTGGGCACCAGGCCTGTAGGCTGACTGCCTGTGGAATCACAGCTGCTAACTGCCTCAGAGTCTCTCAGGCCTAGACAGGCAAGGGCTGGACACAATCTGTGTCAGGCCCAGTGTGGGGAAGCTGTGAGGAAGATCCTAAAGGATGTAAAGAACCTGAGGTCTAGATTGTGCTCAGGCTCCCAAGGTGCTCTCTCTCTCTCTCTCTCTCTCTCTCTCTCTCTCTCTCTCTCTGTGGTGTGTGTGCATATAGGGTGTGTGTATATAGTGTGAATATAGAGTGTGTGTAGTTTGCATATAATATGTATTATTGTGTATGTGTAGTGTGCATATAGGGTGTATGTATTGTGTGTGTGTAGTATGTGTATATAGTTTGCATGCACGGTGTATGTGTGTGTGTAGTGTGCATATAGGGTGTATGTAGTGTGTGAGTGTACTTATATAGTGTGTGTAGTGTGTGTATATAGCTTGCATATAAGGTGTATGTATTGTGTGTGTGTAGTATGTGTATATAGTTTGCATGCACAGTGTGTATGTGTGTGTGTGTAGTGTGCATATATGGAGTGTGCTGTGTGTGTGTGTAGTATGTGTATATAGTTTGCATACATGGTATATGTATTGTGTGTGTGTTTGTAGTGTGCATATAGAGTGTGTGTAGTGTGTGTGTATGTGTGTTGGGGTTGCTCAGAGGATTTCCCTTAGGATCTGGAGGGGCCTGGGCTGTTGTTGATTCTTGATGGCTCATGGAGAGGTAAGAACTCACTGTGTGCCCTGCCCTGTGATGGGTATGGAGATGAAAATCAGAGCAAAGGCTAGCCCAAAAGTCCTCATAGTGTCCTCATAGCTCTTCCACCACACCAAGGTTCTAGACATGGCTGAGTCCCTCAGGAGCCAGGTGCACGCAGTTCACATCCAGCCCCCCATGGATACGCCCCTCCTCCTTGTCAGGAGTGAACCCCATCCCAGACTCTAGCTCAGAGAGCAGGGAGCATGCACTAGCCCCTTGAGCACCCTTGGGCAGAGGAAAGCACCCCAAAGCCCTTTGTGTTCTGTCTGGAGGTGCGCTACCCATGCTCTCATAGTCTGGGTGCAGGAGGTGGTTTCTTTCCCATCACCACCCTGAGTCCACCCCCTGCCTTCTTGTTTTGTGGGCCAAGCCTAGGGCCACCTCCAAGTGCCGACTCATCTTTCCCAGAGACCCCAGGTACTGCTGTTTCTCACCTCTTCTGACTGTTTACTGCCTCAGCCCCTCCTGGCTCTCCCTGTGCTGGGGTGGCCAGATGCTGTGATCCCCACCATTGTGCCCTGAATTCTCCCCTCAGGCTCATTATATTTTTTGTAGAACATATTCTACACTGTTGTTGTGTTTGTGTTCTGTTCTGTAGGCATTGGGGAGTGGTGGGAATGGGGTGATGAAAGGTTGGGGTGGGAGGTGGCATGTGTGGGGTCTATTCATCAGAGGGGTCCTTGAGGCCCCACCATCCCTGCACACGTCTGCAGGGATCACCCCAGCCTCCCTGGGCTATTGCCCTCCTGTGCTCTGATCTCAAAATCTGCACAGCTGAGGGCAGGATGGCAGATGGCACTGTCCCCTCCCACCAGGCCCACCAGGGCTCTCTCAGAAGTGGACAGGAAGCCATTCTCCTGAGGTTGCTGCCTGTCACCAGGAGTTGCACTTTCTCATCCTTACAGAGTCTCCAATGGGGGGGTCTCAATTTCCTTACCTATCTCTGCTAAGTCTTTTGAGGTGCCAGGCTTAGCACTATCTTCTCTAAAGGGTGTTTTCCTAAGTGGGTGGGCCATAGACCCCGATTTCTTAGTCAAGTCTGGGGTCACCTTGTTCCATCCCTAATGATATGCCTGATCCAGAACCAATTAGAAGGGTAGATAGAATATAGATGCTGGTGGATTGCCTAGCAACTGTCCAGTGGTTCTAGGTTACTTGTCTCTACAGATGAGAAAATTGAGGCCTTCAGAGGTGAAAGGTCAGAGGTGAAGAACACAGGTCTTCTTGACCACACAGTCCTTACACCTAAGACACCATTCTACCAGCCAGGGTTACACAGTGTGTGCAATTGTGACCACTGCTGGCCATCTTAATTATTGCACCGACCTCTGGGAAGGACACAGCGGGTGAGAAAGACCCTGAAAGACAAGACATAGTGGGTTGGATTGTCAGTGTCCAGGCAGAGTGGAGGCTATGGGAGTGTGGATCTTGAGAGGCCAGTGTGGCTCCAGGATGGGATCCAGTAGCTGGTGAAGATTCAAGAAACAAGAGGGAACTTCAAGCAAGATAAAGGGAAGAATTTCATAGCTGTTTTTGTTTTGTTCCTCATTCCTCTAAAGATTAAATTGATCCTTGCCGCATAGACCTACATCAAGCCATAGAGAATAAGTGCTTATTACACTTAATGGATAGAAGTGCTTGCTGGCAAGCCCGGCGGCCTGAGTGTTGTCCCCAGGACCCATGGCATGGAAGGAGAGAACTCGCTCCCATAAGTTGCCCTCTGACACACACACACACACACACACACACACACACACACATACACGAACATACACCAAATAAATTAACATAATACAAACAGAATCTGCTCTCGATAGATGAAAGTTGGACAACACAACATTATCTCTCTTGAATTGGAAAACTGTACCACATCCTCACTCTTCTCTATGTTTTACAAAGAGCCTGGGAAACTCCTTGTTCTGTTGTGCATACAGCCTTTCATTGAAAAACAAGGAAATTCCACAAATTTAGAAAAACTAATGATTCTTAGTTTTGGGATTAGCATCTGGTGATGTTTCCTTGAAAGCACATTTACACACAAGAGTGTACACATGTGTGTGCACATGCACACACACACACACACACACACACGTGTGTTCACACACACTTGTACACATGTGCACACTCACACACATGTATATGCACACGCACACACACACACACACACACACACACACACACACACACACACTCATATTCAATTTTGCTCATAATCCTTTATGGCCAGAATCTGAAGAGACCCTGGGACTCTGGCTTAGGAGGCTTTGGGTTGGGACTGCAGGGACAGCTCAGTGATTAAGAGCACTGGCTGCTCTTGTAGAGCACCTGGGTTTGGTTCCCAGCATCCACACAGCAGCTGACAGTCATCTGTAACTACAGTTACAGGGGATCTAACAACCCCTTCTGGCCTCTGCAGGCACTCCACACATGTGGTGCACATACATACATGGAGGCAAAACACTCAC